ACCTCAACAGCAAGGTCCAAATCTCCATGCAGTAATTTTCTTCGTGGTGTCCCCAAGCTCTCAGTCATAGAATCATAGAAACATAGAATGGCATAGGCTGGAAGGGACCTCAGAGATCATCTAAATGATGAGGGACCTCAGAGATCATTCAGTCAACTGAAACCAAGGGGTGAACCAAGGATTGCCTTAGAAAACCAAACCACAGCAGCTTCTTCTGCCATCAGGAAGCCAAGAAGCTGTGCAGGGGACATGAAGAGGAGGAAGAAGTCTGGTAAACGAGAGGATCTGCTGGAGGTTCATAGAATCATAGAATCATAGAATGGTTACGGCTGGAAGGGACCTTCAAAGGTCACCTAGTCCAACCCCCCTGCAAGGAACAGGGATATCTCCAACTAGATCAGGTTGCTCAGGGCCTCGTCCAACCTGGCCTTGAACATCTCCAGGGATGGAGCATCCACCACCTCTCTGGGCAACCTGTTCCAGGGTTCTACAACTCTCATGGTAAAAAATTTTTTCCTAATAAAAAAAAAAGGTTGCTGCAAACCAAACCCTGCTCTCTGCTTCAAGGACCTCCACGGAATCCAGACCTGCATGGAGTGAGGTTTGGCCACATAGCCTCTTCTTTCTTTCTCCTTCTGACCAGCAGCTCCCGGCGAAGACCTGCCTCAAGCAGGAAAGAGCAAATGCCATAAAAAGCAGGATTTATCCCACAGGCTCTGGGCTCGGGGCGGGTTTCAAAGAGGTTTAGACCAGCTGTTCACGCAGCTGTTCTAGCAGCTGACAACATCAGACACAGCCCGGTGAGCCCCGGCACTGCAAGGCTCCACGGCCATCCTTTTATTTTCCCCTTCATATCCAAGGCGTCATCCTGCCGAATAAACAGAGCCGGAGCGAGAGCCAGGGCCTCTGAGAGGGACACGAGGGTCCGCAGGCTCCTGGGGATGGTGGCAGATGGGGTGGGAAAGCAGGGCCAGGTGGGCACGTACAGAGAGGTTCGAGGGCTCCTTCCTGGCGTCTGTCCCCAGCCTGTGGGGTGGCATTGAGTTGGGCTCCATCAGAGAGGAACCAGCCTCCAAACTGTGTCATTTCTACGTCCGGGCTACTCCTCTCACCACCTGGCTCCAAGTCATCTCACTCCGAGGTGTGCACAAGTGCCAAGGGCTCAGAGCAGCTACCCTGGTATTACAAATACTTTACTACCAAGTGCCAGCTGATGGTAACCACCGTGTGCGTGCTCTTGGCACGAGAGAGGGAGGTGGTTTGGGCTCTCTCACTCCTTTTTCTTTCTTGGCCAAGCTTAGTGTAATTATTTGCAAAGCAGGAGCCTGGTCCCATCCAAGGGCTCCGTTCTGGGGAGTGAAAGCCACATCTTCAACCCTCTTCTTTGTTAGGGCAGAGGCTGTAGCTGCTGCGAGCGGTTCCCCACAGCATCCAAGTCCAGCGTCAGCACTTTCTATCCCCTTCCTCGCTCCTTCTCGAGGAGGAGGAGCTGCTCCATTTATCTCCCAACACTCAGCTCCTGGCACGCGTGGTCCAGCGCTCCACACACCTTCCCCATCGCCGCTGGCCAGGCTGCCTCGTGCTTCCCAAGCGAAGCGTCAGGACTTGGTTTTTGATGGGTTTTTGCAGGATCCCAGCCCGTGGGAGAGGGATGGGTAGAGTGGAGCCAAGCGCTGACTCAGGGCGCTGCTGGAGGCTCAGGGAGGAGGGACGTGGGCGACCCACCACAGGGATGCACACCGAGGACCACATAGCACCCCGGATGCTGCTGCAGCCCTTGGGTAGGGCAGAGCAGATAAATTGATTGGGACCAGCAAGGACAACTGGCACACAACGGTCCTGCAAAGGTCGCTACAACTCAAGGTGAAAGGCAGACACTTCCTGCAAATCCTTTTCATGGACAGCCTGGAAAACACACGCATATCTCCAGGGTGCAGCTCTGCACACGATGGCCTGGACAGCTGGTGGACACACTGGAGGAATTTCCAGATGAGATCGGCTCCTGGTGCAGCCCAGTCACCTGGGTGCTCAAGCACGTCTCAGCCCTGGGTTCAGCATCCGCTTAAATCCAAGCGAGGGGGATGAAGATCACCAGGCACCTGCCCATTGTCATCTCTGATGGCCAGGCTCTGCTGCAAATGCCCCCATCTCTCTGCCATCATCTCCTGGCTGCATCAGGGGTGAGCTCCAACCATGCAGGGCAGGATCTGGTTACTGAAGGCACCACGAGACACAGGCACCCAGAAGTGGTTGGGAGCCACCAAATCCTTTCTGGAGCTCAGCTCAGTCCCACCAGCTGGACACTGGGCTCAATGTCCCAAGAACTTCTGAAGCCCAACAGTTGGCACCTCGTGTCTACATTGCTTTGCAGGCACGCTGAGGTCCTTCAGACCCCCATGGCCACAAACCCCACCTTCTTTGCAGCGAGCACGTACAGGGAAAAGCTCCCAGTTGTCCTCTCGGTCAGCTGTCTGCTGTACAATGCCTCAGTGGGGCAGGTGGGACAGCTGGATGCTGCAAGGACAACCCCAGAGCGCTGGTCTTCACAGTAGGCAAATGCACCTGCTGGTGTGCTCAATGGGGATGGGGCTGTCCCCCTGCCCACCCCAAGGAGCCCCAGCGGAGTCCACCCAGAACTGGCCCAAGGGATCTCCAGTTGAACAACCCACCCTTGGAGCAGCTTGTTTGTGCTGTTCCCATCAGGGAGGAGATGCTGGTGAGTGCTTTATGTTTCAATCCCAGGGCCCAGCGGGCATTTGCAGCACACCTTGCTCTGGGTCAAGGCCAGACAACACACCCAAGAAGAGAGGGAAGCACCCAGCTCTACGGTGGTCCATAGTCACTGGGCAGGGAGGACCCAGCACCATTTCAGAGGAAGCTCAGTCTCTGATCCTGATGATAAACCATCCCACCACGGGCTGGTACCACCCAATGGTCCTCATGAGGTTTTTGACCTGGTGGGACACTGTTGGGGTGCAGGAGCAGACCCCGAGCCCTTCCCACCTCCCGCGGGCTCGCAGGTAGCTTACGGAGCAGCTGCACTGCACACACTGGTTCGGCTGGCGGCTGGGAAAGAGCTCGCTGGTGGTGAACATCTCGCCTTGCTGGTAGGTCGTCCCATTGTACTGGCAGGACTTGACGGGCGCCCGGAGGCCAGAAGGGGAATGTGGCTCTGGAAAAGAAGATGAGAAAGAAACAGGATGAGAGCCAGTCCTTGCCCGGCCCCGACGCAGCATGGGTGCTCAGCAGGTTCCCTGCCACCCCAACCCAAAAGGACAAGGAGACCTCTACACACCACAGTTGTCACGAAGAAGCAGCCGGTGCGTTGTGTGGCCCGTGGGGCTTTGTGTGGCTAAAAGCTTTTGGAGAACAGGGTTGCCCTGACCAGGTGGAGCTCAGCACAAAGGTAAAACTAGAAGTCTGACCTCCCGAAGTCTTGTCCCCCACCGTGCCAGAGCGGTGGTGAAAGCTAGTCAAAAACTATCGACGACTTGGGAAATTAGGGGAAAAAAATAGAAAACAAGGTATTTTTAATTTTTTAGCTAATTACCTATGGGAGAAGCCCTTTTGATCTGACTTTGGATGTTGGAGGTCATCATCCAACACCCAGGAGAGAGAAAAATTCAAGAATTTTGTTAAAAATCTTCAGAAATGAGAGTTGTAGAACACTGGAACAGGTTGCCCAGAGAGGTGGTGGATGCTCCATCCCTGGAGACGTTCAAGGCCAGGTTGGACGAGGCCCTGAGCAACCTGATCTAGTTGGAGATATCCCTGTTCCTTGCAGGGGGGTTGGACTAGATGACCTTTGAAGGTCCCTTCCAGCCCTAACCATTCTATGATTCTATGAAATGGTTTTTGTTTTCCTGTATCCAACACATTTCACTGGCAAATGACCTGAATAAAGTGCCAGCTCCTCCTTTGTCCCCGAACTGTGAACCAACATTTTGTCCCTGCAAGTTAGAGACATGGGAGACTTGGAGAAAGTGGTCTGACAAGAGAGCTCTTTTCCATCAAAATGACATTTTTTGGTGGAAAAATCAACATGAGCCACCCGCCGTGACCCTGTGAGCAGGGCCAGACCCAGCATGGCTGCGCTGTTCCAAGTGTGAGCGTTCAAGTGACTGCAGTTGAGATATGCCCAGAAGGACCACGGCCACCTTGTCACCCCCTCCTCGTGGGATGTCCACCTACCAAGACACCGTGGGCAGCACTGCTGGGGGTCTGTGATGGGGCTGGCACACTGCAGAGCCGGGCACTGGATCCGGTAGCACCTGGTGTTGGCATTCTGAGGAGAGATAGGGAGAAAGACGGTTCGTTCAGCTAGATGTTCACCCCTGCAATGGGAGGAAGATGTTGGATGATGGTCACATTATTGCAACAGATTTTGCTGGTTTAGCCAGCCAAGGACATCTCCATTCTGGCTCAAACCGAGCCAGCTCATGGCCTCATTTCTCATAATTAAAGACCATCTGTGGTCCCACAGTAGCCCTGAGCCACCTCCACCCACAGCCCATCAACACTACTTAGAAAGCTCCCTCAGAAGGTCAACCCAACACCCTCGGGGGAATGAGAGGCTTTTTCAAAAGGAAGGAGATTAATTCAACATCCCTACGGGACTGGAAAGGGCTTCTCTGGTCAAATTAGACACCAGAACCGATCTGCTTGAAAGCTGCCAAAGTGATACCCCAACGCAGCAGCATTCCCACCACCTCCCGCGGCACCTCGCGGGGGACGTGCCTCGGAGCAGCTGCAGCGGATGCAGTACATCAACCCCTGTGGCTCCAGGTAGGGGTGCCAGCTCTCGCCCGGGCTGTACTTCTTGCCGTTGAAGTCACAGAACATATCCGGCCCTGAAAGTCAACCAGGAGAAGCTATGTGAGAACGGGCTGGTCCTTGGGAGACCTCTCCTCCCTCCGTGATGAGAATCATAGAATCATAGAGTGGTTAGAGTTGGAAGGGACCTCAAAGATCATCTAGTTCCAACTCCCTTGCCATGGGCAGGGACACCCTCCACTACACCAGGTTGCCCAAAGCCTCATCCAACCTGGCCTGGAATATTTCCAGGGATGGGGCATCTACAGCTTCTCTGGGGAACCGGTGCCAGTGCCTCACCACCCAAGAAGAGCAAGGACAGCTCGGTGCCTTCATGCTATCCCCCATGAGCAGCTGATGGCCACATCCCATCCACCAAACCCCAGACTGAATATATTCCCCAAAAGCCATTTTTATGCTACGATTTCGGGTTCTTCTAGCCTGGGACCCATTTGACCAACTGGCAACTGTTCTGTGCAAGCTGGACTCCCTTTGCAGGCAAGGAACAGAATGGGTGTTTCTGAGGCACAAATCAGAGTTCTCTCTCTAATATGTCAGTAGAAATGCTCGTTTGAAGATGGGCAGGTGATTTCAGGGTGATGCTATGAGACTGAATTTTCCCCAGAAGGGCTGTGAGTCATGGCGGGGATAGGACAGCCTGAATTTATGAGGCATTTTCACTGTTACCCAAAAAAGATGAAAAAAAAAAGACATTTTGGGGTAGAAACACATTTGGAAGGAAAACCTTTTGCTTCCCTTAAGAGCTTCAGCTCATTCTGTCAAGGATCCCCAGACAAGTGCGATCAGCACACGAGCAGCTGAGCATCAGCCCTAAGGAGCAGGACTGTGCTGGCTTGTCCCATCCCACCAGGCTCAGCCCCTTGGCTTTACCAGGCTCGACGTAGCACTGGTCTGGTTGGAGTGGGTTGAACCACAACTTTCATTTCCAGGGGGACAGCAAGCCCACCTTGTCCACTTTTTGCCCCCAAAAGCACAAACCCATGCATTTTTCTATTCCTCTCTGATCTCATCATCCTGAGAAGAGCCAGTTTCCAGCCACGCTCCTGAACTGGAGGTGTCTGTCGCAGAAACGATCGAGCCCTGCCTACAACGGCATGGGTTTAACCTTGCCCCGGCACAGGGAGAGGGACGAGATAGATGGTGCTCAGCACAACTGGTGAAGGAGATCCCCTTTGGAGACCTCCCCTCTCCCCAGATTTTAGCAGGTCCCCATCAACCCTTCCATCTCCAAGCCCTTGATTACACACCAACCCTTTGACAGGATGAAGCCAGCCTTAAGCAGGATCTGTGGGACAAACCGTGGCCTCAATCACCACCAAAAAGCACAGGGATTTGGCCAGAAAGCCCAATTCAGTCATCAGTGGTTTCGTTGCTTACAGCCCCACTAAAAACTGGAGGTGATTTAAAAGGTTATGTCATCGAGGGGATTTGAGGTAGTCTGGGCAATGACGTTGCTCAAAGGCAATGGAGACGTTTACAATCCCTGAAGCATTTATGGGTCTTTTAAAACCTTGCAGCACCCTGGGGACACGGTGAGAGGGGAAAGGGCTGTTTGCTGAGGCATCGTGCCCAGCTCCCACCGCCCGCCGCATGAAGTCAGGCAAGCTGGCAGGTGCTGACCCTGCTACGCTGCTGGAAGGACTCCTCGATGAATAGCAGAGGGTCCTAAAAACGAGCTCAGTGGCATTTACCACCCCAGTGATGTAAAAACCCATCCCATGCTCCACTCTGTCACCTGGGGCAAAGCAGTGGTCTCGAGAGCCCGACCAGCGTTGTCCCACCTTGCCAAAGCTGAAGATGCCACCTGCTTAATGTGTTTCTCCCACCTATCGGGTAAAATTCATATGAATACACGGTGGTGGGGTGCCATTCCTCCTCCAGCTTCTGACCATCCTCAGGATAAACCCAATTAATGCTCTACCACAGCTGGTCCCTGTGGCCATCAGGAAAGGTCCATGATGATCCTTACGGTCTCTTCCAACTCAAGCCATACAGGTCTGCCAGCAGCCCTCATTGAGTTGATGGCTTCGAGCACATGATTCTCCAAGCTGCACCTTCAAAGGAGGTGGCCACCAGCTGTCCAGACCACTTAGTCCAAGCCCTTACTTCCAGACCACCTAGACCAACCCAGCATGGCATCCGCAGAGGTGATTTGCAATGGTTTTGGAGTGGATGCCATCAGAGGGGCAGGCAGAGACATTTTCCTTCCTTTTCCCTACTCAGGTCTTTACACCGTCCCCATAGCTTGCTCCAAACCTCTTGACAAGTCAACAAACTCGTATTCCCGGCCATGCATGACACGAGCTTACAGCAAACTGCGCAAGAACGGGGAGCACGTGGCTGGAAACCGCAGAAACCTGGGAGAAAGGGGAAAAAAAAAAAAAAATCCACAGAACTGAAAAAAAAAAAAACCCAACCCACACTAAAAAATAAATCATCATTTTGCAAAAGGGTGAGAAAATGACTTCATTTTTCCCTGCTTGCAGCATCTTCATGAATTACGCCGAGGGTGAAGAAATCGAGTTGCCTTCACGTGACGCGGCCCCGCTCGGCTCGCAGGCTTTTCCGTGCCAGTTGGCTCCTCCGCTCCAACATTTAATCACAAGTGGAGCCCTGGTTTGGGTCCAGCCCTCGAAAGCAGCCTGATTCATGTCTGCCGAGCGCCCG